ATACCCTGAAGTGTATTTTATTTTAATAGAATTTTAAATAAAACTGCTTTATTTTATCATTCCTAGCAAACTGCTCTTCACTGGAGCACCTATTACAATAACCCAGAGCATGTGAAACTTCTGATCAAACATGATTCTAATATTGGAATCCCCGATGTTGAAGGCAAAATTCCACTTCACTGGGCAGCTAATCACAAGGATCACAGTGCAGTTCATACTGTCAAATGCATTTTGGTAAGGCATTTTGTTCAAATAAATGCTGATTTATTTACTGTAATTTTGAGGGGTAGAATCTTATGCTAAGCAGTGCATATTACACTAGAAACAGTAATTCCAATTAATTCTACACTAGTACTGAACATCACAGTATTGTGTTTTTACTTTGAGTCTCCCGTTTTTGAAGGATATAGAGAAAATGGCATACAGTGGTGCCTTGCTTAACGAGTGCACCATTTAACGACGAATCTGCATAGCGATGTTGCTTTTGCGATCGCAAAAGCGATGGCATTGTGATGTTTAGATAGGCAAAAACTCACATTGCGATGATCGGTAAGCGTTTCGCTTACCGATCTTCGCATTGCGATGTTTTTACAACAGCTGATTGGCTGTTTCAAAATGGCCACCGAGTGCCCAAAATGGCCACCGCAAGTGTTTTCGCGCCCTGCCCTCGCTTACCAAGGGCGCGAAAATGGCGGCACTATGGAGGAACTTCGCTGAATGGTGAGTTTGGGCCCCATAGGAACACATTAAACTAAGTTTAATGCGTTCCTATGGGGTTTTTCGATCCGTTTAGCAATGTTTTGTATAGCGACAATTAATCCGGAACGGATTAACGTCGCTATGTGGGGCACCACTGTATGTTCAAAAGTGGGTAATGAAATTGGTCAGGGTGAAAGGAGTGGGTTTGTTTAGTTAGGAAAAGTCTGGAGATTTATGAATATACTACTCTAATATTTAAAAGTTTGTCAAGTAAGACTGGGTGGGGATTTTTTCTCTGGCCCGATTGGTCTGGACTAGACTTTTATAAAAGATAGAGATTGGTTGAATATTTGGAGAAATGTATTGATGATAAGAGCAATTTGACAGTGAAACTGATGATAGGCTTTCTTCTTGGAGGCCTTCCAGAATAGGCTATGTTGCTCTGGATTTCCTCATGAAAACTGTTTTAAATGCTTGGGATCCTATATTGATATCCATGCAAGAAGGTGATTATATAATTGCCGCTCAACAACAGTTGTATTCATACATGTCATTGATGTTTTTCCTGATGGAGCTACTAAACAAAGT